TGGATCCACAAAGAGGTGATAAGAATAGCAACGGTGATATTTATATCAGGTAACCTAAAATAAATAAATAAATAAAAAAACACTATATTTTTAACGTTAAAAATAAGAGGGGGAAAAACGGACAAAATATTTAGTTCCTGATAATATAATATAATATAATATAATATAATATAATATAATATAATATAATATAATATAATATAATATAATGTAATATGTAATCCCCGAAAACGTAAGACAATTGTGAAATATATGTCTGTAATACAGTAAAATTTGGGAGTTATTATAAAGAAAACTACACTCCTGTGTGAACAATATTAATAATAACAGTAATAAGAATAATATTGATAATAATAATAATAATAATCAATAAAGCTATTGTTAAACTGCCAACATTGAATTGAAGCAATATATCCCCCCAAAAATAGTGCATAATATAACATAAAATATTATAACATACTATAATGTAATATAATATAATATTTTTATCTTGTTCATAATAATCAACATTTAACACCCCTAAAACGTTAATTAATTAAAAAAAACTATTTCACAAATAAAATTACTTCCCCACTAAAAATACATAAATAGCGCCCTCTACTGGATAAAACCAATAACAACACTAAAAACAACAATAATACTGGTAATATTGATTAAAAACAGCGGCAATATGCATATTAAGCTAGTGCATGGATTCATTTATGTTCAGTTTAATTTTCTAATATTCCATATTTCTATTAAACCATCGATTAATTAAAATTTATTCTATTAAGGTGAGAAAAAAGCTTTGGAGGCTCCAGTAAATTAGGTCTTTTGAACTAGAAATGTAATTAAATTACACTAAGGCTCACTGAAACTCTCTAAATTGTATCTTTGTCAACATTAAAGTTGTTATTTAATATTGAGATAACAAATAAGCTCTCATATTTCAATTCAATTCACATGTATTTAATCAAGGACATGTTAAAAACAGAGCTAAGAGCTTAATATTGTTTTCACTTAAAAGAAGCTAAGATTTTTCATCAAATGTTCTTATATGTTGTAATAAACGGTGAAACAGTTAATTGTGATTAATTAATCGTTGTAATCGTGCATATTTTGTTACTTAAAAACTGAAATGAAAAGTTACTTGTTTATTTGCATCTTTTTATGTATTTGCAATATCGTATAAAAAGGCTTAAATGATCTGCAGAATGTACCATTTTTCTTATTTGATTAATTGATTAATCAATTAATCATCAGAGTAGTTGATTACTAAAATTATCATTAGTTGCAGCTCTAACCTCCAGCTGGTTTCCCTCCAGGATTTTCCCGTATTTTTCTCCCCTGTTCGTCTCGTCAGCATCCCCTCAGCATGATGCCGCCACCACCTAAAGCACAGCTGTGACTGTGTTTCCAGAGGAACGCAGGCCAGGCGCGACCTTTGACCTGAGCTCCTTCTGCTGCATGTTTGCTGTGGTGTCGATGATCTGTCAGTAGTTTTTGGGCTCAGTGATGTCATCATGTGGTCACATGACTCGTAAACCAGTCTAAGAGGATTATTCTGTTTTCCCTTCTGTCATATTTGTCATTCAGCGTGTTCGATTTTGGACGGAGAAGCAGCGGGAGGATCTGGACGCTCAGAGGATTTATTGATTCTTTGGTTTGATCCGTAGATGATCGACAGATGAAGCCGAATGCCTGCGCTGTGTTCCTGCTGCTGATCTGCCCTCTGCGGAGGGCCGACTGCAGCCTGCCGCTCTTCACTCCGGCCACAGCATCGCTGCAGGTAGGACAGGCGGCTAAAGCCAAAACAACCAGACAACTAAAACACAAGAATTTGGAGACCAACTGTGTTTAAAGTTGCTGCACATCCTTTGGAGGGTAATTCATCTCTCTGGTTGCTTTTAGGAGAAAGTTTCTGCAAACTGGGAGTCGAACACCGTCACATCTCTGAGGAAAAACGGCTTTATGCGACTTCCTGGAATCTGTCGACGCCTGAAGCGACGCAGAGTCACGATTGTGGTAAATATCTCCACTCTGTCAACAGAGATACAAAATCAGCCCTAACATCAGGGTTCCTGCCTACAGATAAAAATATCATCAACTTCCTAAAATAATGGCCAAAGTCATTTTTACTGAATGTGACTTTTGCCAAAATTGACTTAGGCCATTATTTTAGGAAGGCGATAATATTCAAATTCAAATTGAAAAGTGCTGTTATAACTAATTTTAATTCAGATTCTTCAAAGAGTTATTGTAGATGAATGCCGACAGGAAGGATCTCCAGTGGGTTACTGGTGAGCCTCTGACTGAAGACGCTGTTTTCCCAAGACAGTCCCATCAAGAGGATGGTCAGAGTTGTCCATAATCTTCTTGATTTCATGAACAATCCTTCTTTGTATCGTCATCTCCAGAGATTCCTCAGACCAGAACCAGACCAGAACCAGCCTTCTTTATCAGGCTGTTGAGCCTCTTTAGGTCCCTGGTTCTGATCTGCTGCCCCAGAAGAAATTACGTTCTCTCTCAACAACAGGTTTATAGATCTTGAAGGATCTTAGCTTCCTCCAGAGGTCCAGTCTGCGCTGTCTCTTCTTATAGACGCTTCACTGTTGCGTCTCCAGTCCAGTCTGAGGTCCAAATTAACACAGAGGTGTTTATATTCCTTCACTCCTCCTCCTATGATGGAAATAGGGTTTGAGCTAACTCTGTTTCTCCTGAAATCTTCAATCATCTAATTATTTTTTTTTCACATTCAAGATGAGATGATTGTTCCCACACCAAAGCATGTGGAAAAGGAATTAAATATAATGACCACTGGAGATAAATACCCGATACAGTGTAAGAACAAGCAGGTTTGGATGAAGGATGGATGTTTTAGCTTAGATTAGCAATAAACTGCATGAATTTATTAAAAAAAGAGCAAATCTAAGTCTAGAAAGGAGCAAATATATTGAATGGAAAAGGTTAAGGACGACAGTTGCCATGACAACTCTCACACAGGAATGAAAAAACAAAGAATGACAGACAGACACATTTTCATTGTTACTTCTGCTTTCTACATAAACTTCATTGTTCTAATGTATTTTCCTGCTGAGGCTGTTGTGTCATTTAAAGGTCAACTGAACAAAAACACAAAAGTTTCTGGTGCAATCAGACTTGAAATACGACAAAACTAACTTACAATATAATTCCCTAATATTGATGAAAAGTACTCAATCCTTTGGCAGACTATTTCACTTATAACGTAGGAAAATGTCTTGTTATATATAAGTGAAAAAATCTTCCAGTGGAACTAGAACTTTTTAAAATCAATATTAAGGAATTATTTACTTAAAACAAACTCCAATATTGTGATGAGAAGTTACTTATGAGTTAGTTTGGTCTCATTTCAAGTGTATTAAGATATTTGCACCAGAAACTAGACCAAAAATAGTTGGTAAGATTTTATGTTTTTGCAGTGAAAATTTAATAAATCATAGATATTGATACTAGAAGTGTTTTGAACTGCATTGTATTATGTTACATTACCTACTGTATTAGTTTCAAACGTTTTAGGTTGTGGAAAACTGAGATTTGTTCATGTGTGTTTCTGCCGCCCATGTTTGATATTTCGTAATGATGTAATTTTTTTTTTATTTTTTATTTTTAGCATTTTTTTACTTTATGATTATGAGTAACATAATCTGCACTTTTCTTCTTTAAAATTTAGCTAAAAGTTAATCAAACCCATAGATTTCCCAAAGTGAAAGGTGTGGGACCCCAGAGTGTGAAACTAAACTAAAACTAAGCCTGTCTGACTTTATCGGTGCCTCCGTTTTTCTTTTCTCTCAGTGTAACCTGGAGAAGTTCTGCTGGGGCCGCAGCTGGTGGAGGAGACAGAAGACTTCACCTGGCCAGGTGTGTCGCTGCCCTCAAGGTTCCAGGTGTTCACATTTCTTCCTTCACAGCATCTGAAAAACAACAAAACACTACAAACAGAAGGATTTGCTTTTGCTGGTTTTTCTTTACATTCATGAAAACTCTATATTTAAAAAATAAAATATAATATTGTCTGTTCTTCTGCAGCGGTTATGAGGTTTATTTCTTATATTAATGTTAAAAAATTATCTGTATTGGTGCAAAACATTTAGTCATGGTTCTGATTTTGACGTTATAAAGTGTAATGTAATTTTCAGTCATGGCCTCTAGGCGGCGGTGTGGATCATCTGACCGACTTCCGCCAACATTTACGTTTCCAACTCAGCTGAGGAAACTAACGGAAGTGACTTTGTCTCCCCTTCACAACAAATGTCAACGTTACATTATTCCTCAGGAATCCCTCCTGGCATTGAGTGAGAATAAAAATTATTCACACCAAACAATTTACAATCACTAATAACAATAAGAGATGTTTGGACAGTGGACGGGGACTGGATCCATTTTTGGGAAGTTTGCACAAAGGCGAATCATGACGTCTGTGAGTTTCCAAACAGAAAAACCTTATAAACAGGTTAAACTACTCCTTAGAAAACCTTCAAACTACATGTACTATCATGATCTGTTCTAATTTTGTGTTGTTAAACATTTGCTCCTAGTATAGATAAAAAGTTTTGTAAAGGTAAGATGAAATCCTACACCTTATATTGAAAGTAAAGTTTGTCAAAGATTGTGAAGCATTTTGTGAAGAAGTAAATTAAGAAGTTGTTTAATTTAAATGCAATAATATAAATATAGCATCTTTTGACTGTAATGAGTTAATGCTATTAATTTAACTGTTCCTGCTGAAAGTGTTTGAGTCGAGGTTACATTTCATGTACACCATTATTTATGTAAGTATTTCTTTAAGTGATTAATAATTTTAGGCTCAGATGATGCTGCTGTAATTTAGATCATAGTGAACTGTGCACCTTTGTTTTTTTTTCATACTATTTTTTTTCTTTTGTAAGCAATGTTAAATAAATACACTAAAAATGAAAAAAAAAAAAACCTGCCTTCTTTTGCATCCGCTTAACGCTGTGGAGATGCTTTTATTTTGAAGTCTCCTTACTGTGACGTTTCTCGGCTTAATGGTGTCGTCGTGAGCAGAGGCCGCCCGTCAGACAATCCGGTAACAGCCTGTGGATTTCAGAAGTGTCTCTATCTGATCTCAGGTCCTTTTTTTATCGGCCATCGTGTTTCAACGTCGCTGTAAAGCAGCTGCTCTTCCTCTCAGCTGCCGTGTTGTATCTAAAAATGGCGGCTGTTTCAGCGGATCACGGTGAGTGCTCAGAGCTGAGCTAACAGCTGCTAACGTTAGCTTCTCTTCTTTAGGTAAACACTCAGAGTAGGAGGGCTGTAAATCACTGCTGCCTCATCCTAGCATCCGAGTTATTTCTAAAATTTGTAAATAACCAGAGTTCAGATTGATAAATTGTTATTTTTATTAGCCGGTTGAACGTTTTTGAGTCGTTATTGATCAACTGTGATTACAGTCAGCTGATTATAAACCATCTGTTGGTCACATAATCCCAATCTGGTTAAACATTTGTTTCCAGATGCTTACAAGAGGCGGAAAATAAGGAGAAAATCCTTAATGATGAAAAAAATATTACTAGTTCGGCAATATTAAAACAATATTACTAGCTTTGCTATGAAACACAACCCTGAGGAAAGTCCTGAATTGTTTTTTTTCTTTGTGTTGTGCTTCCAAAATTGTACAATTACTCTTTAGTAATTTTCTCAAGTGGCAGATTTATTTGAACTTTGTGTCGCTTTTTAACTTATTTTCACTGCATTTATTGTACCTTGTACTCTTTATGACACGACTTGGTCTGATATTTTTATTAGAATTTGATCATTTAGCTTTGAGTTGTTGAGCAACTGTTTTCTTTCTTTATGAGGGTGAGACTATTTAAACTTGGCATAAAAATCTAAAATATTATAATGTATTTTTCATCAGTAAGATTGAATATAGTTCTCCTAAGGGTGTATTTTTGTAATAAAAAAGACACCCTTTTTATTAAAAAGGTTGTCTTTGTATTGTCTTTTTTATATATAAAACACACATATTTATAAATTTCTTTTTTATGTTTTTCTTTCCTCTGTATACAAAAGTTCCTACACGTTCTAGAAATTTGTGTTCACAATCTTCAACAACTGCATGAGTATAAAAAATAGTTTTCCTCCACTCTAGTTGTCCTCTCGGTGTAATATGCTTATTAAATTGTCTTTGATTTCTATTAAATTTCCATAGTTTATCTGTGATTTGTCACATCACACTTTGAGTTTTATTTTATTTATTGAGTTTCTGACTAAATAAACTTGTGGTAGAACGGTTAAAAGAGCCATTTCACCACTGAGTCTAAAATGTCAAACTACGCAATAATGTTGCTTATGCTGTTCAGGCAAACAAACAAACAAGCACCAAAGTTCACAAAGAAACTGCTTGTAGTTGTGATGATGGAGCCCAATCTAATTTGTTGATTAATCAATTGATCTACAAATGATCAAGCGTAAACTAAAGGAATGCTATGGTATTGCATTTTTGGCAATAAAATTAGTATTTTCTTATTGAATTATTTGTTTATTTGCATATTTTAATGTATTTCTAATGTTTAAAAAGTGGGTAGATGAAAATAATCAATTGCTAATATAATCATTAGTTGCAGCTCTAGTAAATATAACGGTAGCTAGAGATGTTGTGGCAAATATAAAACAATAAAAAATCAGCGTGAGGCCAAACGGGGATTTTAGAATAGTTTCAAAAAAGACTAAAAAACTAATTTCTTAATGTAAATGATAGATTTTCATGTTTTTGTTCTAAATCAGATCATAACAGGGAGAAACTCCAGACTGATTTATGTTGTTTTCTCTTCCAGGTCTCTGCAGCCTTTTGCCTTAACTCACCCCAGTTAAATCTGAGCACCATGTAAACAAACCAGGCAGCAAACCAATCCAAGCGTTAGCCTGCACCAGCTCCAGAACCAGTGGGTTACTGGTGAGTAACCAGCAGCAGCAGACAGGGTGGCGGCGCTGTCGCCTTTCAGCTGGAGAGGCAGGCTGATGGAGAGCGACTGCCGGATCCCAGTCGCCTGCTGTCGGCCTCGGGTCCTCCTGCTCCATGCTCTGTTCTGGGGTCTCGTCTCGCTCAGGTGGGTTTGGACCCGCAGGCCTCCAGCAGAGCCTCAGAGTGTTTCAATAAAAGTCCAGTTTGATGCTTTTTCATTCCAGAGTGTTCGGAGCGGCGCTGCTGAGCGAGGAGAAGACGACAGGTACCCCTCGACTGCTTCAAACATCCTTCTTTTATTTTTTATGTCGCCTGGCATCCATACTAATAAAACTATACTTTTTCCAAAATACGCGTTCCTTTTAAGAAACTAAAAGCTACATACCCAGATGACATTTGAAGCAATTCTTTTACCTAAAACTTCTTGTATTTTTATTTAAATCTCTCTTTTGTGTGGATATTTACCATAGTAAATATGTTGTATTGTTTCCATTTGTTCAGAAACCTGCCCGATTATTTTAAAGAATAATTTTTAATCCTGCGTGACCAAATATCATCCTACATATAATATCTTCTTTCTTTATTGTAATACATTTTCTAAATTTCCCAACTTTTTTTTTTTTTGGATACTATGATCAACAAATCTAGCATCGTCTGATCTTCCATTTCTTCTTAATGTATAATTTTACTGTATTTTTAACCTCATTTTTACTTTTTTAGCATTTAAATTCACTTTTTTGTAGCACTTTCCACAAAATTATTCCAATTTCCTACAATTCCAATTTGTGCAGGAATCCATAAATTTGACCTCTGCCACCATTTTTAAACCTGAAATTGTAAATGACTTGTACACAATATAAAACCTTGAATCTGAACAAATTATATATTTTTTTCCTCTAACCCCATTAACTCATTCTAAAGCACTCACAGTTACCTCTAATTCACCTTGAAACACTGTTATTTTGATATTCCTACTCTATTATTTATCATTTTAGTATCTGTATAGATCTTTTTGGGAAACAGCAGGACTAATCTGAAAGCTAAGACCAAACCTTCAGCATGTTTTTCACATTTGTTTTTTTTTTTTTTCTGACCTTTTGTTCTTCTGCATCAGCAGTGAAGCCTGTTGTCGCCCCCTGCTGGCTGCTGGAGAACTTTGTCGTGTTGGAGGAATGCAACCGCTGCAGCGACTTCAACGCTGTACGTTAACTCAGCTTGTTGTGCTCCATTAATCTACAGATTACTGGGGGTGGGCATTTATCGTATCGTTTATCATTTAAGCAATCATGCGATTGCTTTTTCATAAGTGTCTTTAATTAAATTTTATGAGTCTTTAAAATAATAATTGAATTATTTAGTTTTTCAAGTGTAATTTTAGGAGCAGTGGGAGTAATTATATCTTTTCTGTTTTACATTAATCAGATTGTGATGTAATAATATAATTGATGTATTTTCAGTCATTTAGCTCACAGAGGGAATCTCATTCCGTCTGAGTTTTAGTTTAGCTTCAGTACTTGAAGAATCAGTTTTATATCTGAGATTCAGTCAGGAAGCCATTCTGAGACGGTGAAGAGCTGGGTCTCGATTGGCTGATGACATCTTCAAACGTGTGTGTGTGTGTGTGTTTCAGAAGACGCAGACGGTTTGCAGACAGACGGGATACGTGGAGCGGGTGAACTGCACCAAGACCAGCAGGCAGGAGTACAAGAGGTCAGAACCTGAAGGGTTAACGAGACTGAAGTTTCCTCTGAGGTCAGACAGAAACACATTCAGGGATTTTTCTGTTAGGAGATTAAAATTCTCCTCACTCCAGTCGATGTGAACTTCTTCATCTCTCAAGTCAGGACAGGAATGGGAAAAAAATGAAAAAGAAATGTCCTTCCTTCCTTCCCTGTATTCTTTCCTTGTACTCTTGCTTCTTTTCTTCCTTGTGTCCTATCTCCACTCCTTCCTTGTTTTCTTCTTCCCTCATCTTTGAACTTTCCTCCATCCTCTCTGCTTTTCTGCTTCCCATCTTTCTTCCTTCCTTCTTTTAACCCCGTTTTCTTTTGCCCTTGCCACCTCTCTTGTCTTTCCTTGTGGTTTTTTCTTTCTTCTTTGTTACCTTTCTTTCTTTCTGGCATCCTTTCATTCTTTCCTTGTGTCCTCCCTTGTTTCCTTCCTTAATTCCTTGTTCTTTCCTTCCTCTGTCCCTCCCTTGTGCTCTTCTTCCATTCTCTGTGTTAATTCCTTCCATCTATTTAAATATCTGCCATAAATTTGTGTAAATTTAAGATCAAGCACTGGGAATATTTCTCCGTATCAGATCTGAAGCGGATCCAGATCAAATGTTCTTCTAGTGTAAACAGACACTAACCATTCTCCTCCTCCTCCCAGCTGCCGCTCCGCCCTGATGGAGGAGCATCTCTTCTGGAAGTTTGAGGCAGCCATGTTGGCTCTGACGGTCGTCTTCGCCGTCCTGGTGGTCATCCGCCAGCGCTGGCTGGATCGCCTCGCCTCTGAGAAGGTCCGCCGACAGATCGAGTCCATCTAGGAGGAGAGGGTTTTTAAATCCTGTGGCAGTATTTTTAAAATGGATCCAGGTTTGGACCGGACCTGGTGGACGTCCTCCATGGAGCTGGCTGAGCTCAGCTCCCCGTCTGTGAAGTTTTTCCTCTTCACCAGCGACTGTTTCTCTGCTAAAACAGCAGAAAAAAAACACTAAAACCGGGACAATGAGTCCTGATTTATGATGCAAACTGTAGATTATATTTTAGTGAACAGAGTTTATAGAGAAATCAGGGAAGGAGTAGTTTGATCTGGATGAGAACAGAAGTGAAACTGACGAACCTTAGGAACAGAAGCTGAAACCTCTCTTCCTGCATCGGCTGATGTCAGACAGGAACTTCCTTATATGGACTCTGGAAGTGAAAATTGGGAGCAGCTGTTTCTGAAGTGTGGAACAAAGATCTTTTTCTTTCAAGATTAAACATTTTCCTGCAGAAATACGAAATAAAAGTCTGAAAAGATTCAAATCTGATATTTAAAGATGCAGTTCTGTTTCAGTTTGCCATTAAAAACTGTTTTTACATCCGTGTTTTGGTTTATGTGGCTGTATTCCGGTTCCTGTGCAGAAATTTGACAAAAGTATTTTTGAGCTCTGGATAAATAAACAATTAATTGTCAATTAATGATTCGTTAGGTTAAAATTAATTCCAATCGATTAATAACGTCTGCTTAGACCTTTTTTCAGTGTTGTGGTTTCGGAAACCATCCTTAAGAGAAGCCGTTGATCTGGAAAAAAAAATGGCGGCTGTATCACAACGGGAAAGAAAAATGGTCCAAACGGAGTCAATTGTGGGATATAAATTGCAGTTTTTGTGGTTCTATTTAGAAATTTAAACACTCGACAAGCTCCTTAAGTTATGACTTTAATACAGCTGACTCAAGAAAATGTTAAAATATATTGTTTCTTTTTTTAAATTCGGTATATGGTACAAAAGTTAGCCCTTTGTTTTAGAAAGACGGGTTTCTCTTGATGCAGGAGAAAACTGTTTAAGAGATTGTCCGCTTATCAACAAACTTTAGAGTAACTCAATCGATTACTTACATCCCTAAGAGAAACAAAATTACTTAAAAAGTTTGTATTCTGCCATGCGAACCATTGTTTCCTTCCTTTTTCTGTAATTATTTTTGCAGCTCACAGTATGGTAATCTTACCCGAACTCGCGGCGAACTTTTTAGTGTTTTTATAGTTTCAAATCTACTGTGAAGTCTGATAATGTCTCATTTCGACATCCCGGATGCGCTGGAAAGATTTAAAAGTTTGAAATTGGTCAGAACTTGACGTCATCGCTCTTGTCCGCCCATTCTTCACCTGATTGGTTCACATTTCCTCTGGCTGAGTTCTGATTGGTTGCTGCTTCACTCTGAATAGAGATAAATTTTAAAATTAAAACAATCACTGTTTTAATTTTATGTTCCTTTATCAAAGTGTTTCAGCCTCGTTCTGATGTTTTTATTGTAAATAATAGGTTTATGTTGGACGTTTTTTGTTTGTGAAGTTTCTGACAAAATAAACTGAAAAGAAACATAAAAGTGTATTACCTGTTTTGATTTAGTTCGAAAAGTCTGTTGCTTTATTATTTCAATAAATACGTTACAAATACAATCAATCTCAGTATTTTGTGGAATTTGATCAACTTTTTTTTTTCAATATCTAGAAGTCTTGGACCAACTAAACAAGGATCTGGGAATTTAGATTCTCTAAAGCAGTCTGTGAAATTTGATCCCTTTATTTAGTTAAAAATCCTTTAAAAAGCAGCTTTGTTTGGCATTTTAGACTAATTTTAAGAACCACAGCTCAAGTTCAATGTGAAATTAAGTTTCACACAGGTGGAATTAGGTATGAGTACACATTTAGTTGAAACGCAAAAACTAACACACAGTTAGGCAGAATTGTTAATTATGGATTTATGTGGCAAATCACAGTGAAAACTATTACATTTGTTTAGGATTGTTAAAATGTCATTCCTTTAATTAACAGAAACATTATTTGGAAAATCAAACATTTTCCTTGCTCACTTTTCTATTTCCAATTATCCAGACCTGGAAAGTCTCAAAAGCAAAATCCAAAGCTTCCCAAGCTTTGCATAAATCATGCATGCTACCCCAAATCTACAAAAACAAAAAATGATTGATCAACACTCAGACTGCTTCAATATACGGTTAATAACGCTTCAAATCACTGAAATAGCACATTCCACTTTTTATTGTAGAAAAGTTTTTTTGGACACCAAGCTGCTAAGCAGCTCCACATCAAATAAACAAAATCTTGAATTTAACATTAAATCTTTAAAATACAAAGATTACATAAAGGATTTTTTTTTAAATAGCATTAAAGCTCACAATGAGGTTTGTGTTCATATCCTAAATAAATTCTTGGTGATTTCATGGCGAGTCCTGATTAGTTTATGCAGTTTAGGTCAGAATATGTGATGTTCAGGCTCAACCAACAATAATTTAGGTACATTTATCTGAACTGAGATGCACTGGTAACAAAATTTTACCAAGTATTTTAGGTCTAGTTTCTGGTACAAATATATTTGTACACTAAAAATAAGACAAAACTAACTTACAAGTAAATTTTAGCGAGATACAGAAGCTTGTTTTAAGTCAAAAATTCCTTGGAACTAGTACCTTTTTATCCGTATTAAATAATTATTCAATTAAAACAAACTCCTATGTCTTGCTAAAAAGTTACATGTAAGTTAGTCTTACTTCAAATATAGTAAGATATTTGCACTGGAAACTACACTAAAAATACTTGATATTTTTGTGTTTTTGCTGTGTAAGCAACGTTTCCTCCAGGTTTATAAAAACCAAACAAAAAATATGTAATAAAATAAATATGTTGTAGTAGCTTAAACTAGAAGGCTACTTTCAAACCTGAGATACAAAGTAATTACTTTGCTTTAAAATCTCAACATTATATGAAATATCTATAAATTTTTATAAAAAGAATGAAATTAGATTTCATTTATATACAATAAATGCTTTTAAATCTCGCTCATGCTCAATGTTTCTAATTAAAACAATTTTCTACTTGCTGCTAATTTAGTCTACTGACTGAAACTGATGTGAGTTATCACTGAAATGTTAAACCAACTGCTTCTCGATTGGCTGAATCATCAGTGATGTCATCCGAAACTTAAAAAAAGTTTCAACATCTCATTGGCCTGGACTATGCTGTCAGTTGATTGGCTCGTAGCCCGTTCCAGAGGATTCCCGCTTCTTCGCGATTAAGACGTAAACTCCGCCCCCCAGCAGGAGGAGGATGGGAATCCCCAGACCAGCCGTTAAGATGCCGATCACCATCGGGGAGAAGGAGTCCACCGGAGGGGAGCCGATGCCCACCAGCATCGTCCTGAGGGAGACGGAATACATCGATTTAACGACAGACGGATCAGAAACACTAAATAAAGAACAAATAGACGAACTAACCAGCTGAGGAACATGGTGCTGTTGTAATAAGGCTCTCCAGCTATGCCGAAGCTAACGTTCAACCCAATGGCTGCTGGGTCGGAGTAAAAAGCTTTAATCAGAGCCGATGAAGCTGACGTCGAGTTCCCGCTCTGCTGCTGTGGGTCGGAGTTACGACACGGCGTTGCGTCCTCCAGGGTCGCATGGGGCGTCCGGTACGCCACTGGCTTCCACTGGGCGAAACCCAGGACGTCTGAGCCATTGTTCGGTGAAGACACCCACTGAGACACCTGAAGGAGAGGAACTACAGCCGGTTAAAGACCAGCAGAACCGGTCGGTTTACACCGAAACCCCCGCCTAGTCACGGTCCAGTATTCATGTAGTTTTCTGTGGAATGTGACTCCAAATAATGCACGGAAAATTAACTTGTTCACTTTTTTTTCATAGAGAAAAAATGCTAAAAAAAAAAAAAAAAGAAAAGAAACAAAGTACTTTAAAATAAAGAGTTTTGTCACCTGGAATATCGAAGGTGTGTACTCGTCGTCGATGAACTGGTGAACGTTCACTCTGCTCAGTGGATAAGCCCCGCCCACCGCCTGCAGCTCCAACACGAACCTAGACATAATGGAGCGGGGCGGCAGGCCGTTAAGCCACACCTCCAACTGGGAGGAGTTAGCAGAATGGAGGAGGCGGGGCCAAAGGTCGGCACGCCCCTCTGAGCCAAACACAGACAACTGGAAAACAAAAAGGTAGGAAATTTAAGGCAATATGAAAACCTATAATAATAATACTGCCTCCATCTTATGAATATCACTCGATTTTGTGTCATAACACTGATATATGTAAGATACTTTAATAATATTATAGGAAAGACAACACGGACGATAAACAGCTACATGAAAATTAGATTATATTTTAATATACCAGAATTATGTCATAAATATTATTACATTAGCAATAATAAGAGCTCAACATTATTTGTGCACCACCATATAATTATGAAAAATCTTAGTAAAAAATCTGGAATCATCCTAAGTCGATTTCACTTCACATAATTATGGTATAATTATGACATAACTAAGTCTTTGTATTTCACAATATAAAACACTTAAGCCTTAATTATGGGATAATATTTTATAGTACAAGGATCAGGATCATAACTCATTTATATTTACAAAATAAGTTAAATTTGAGAGTCAAATTTAAAAGCTATTTATTAAATTTGCGTAATTTTTATGACTTTGTATCAAATCATAAAAGCTCTGAATTTTTCCTTAACCATCTAGAGAAATAATCTAGCGATAATAATAATAAAAAATATTATTATTATTGTTGCTGATTGGAGTGACTGTCCTGGGTCGTCCCAGTGCCCCACCTGCAGGCAGAGCGACCCGTTGCCGGACCGTGTGGGAGACCCGCACAGCGTCACGGTGGAATCGGACAGGTTCATCTGAGCCCAGATGAAGTCCTTCAGCTCGTAGGCGGGGAAGAAGTTGGATTTCGCCTCGGCCGTGTCGTTTTCATCATTGTACTCCAACAGCTGAGAGAAGAAACAAAAAAGTTTTCCAGTAAACACACCGTCAGGTTTGTTCTACAAGGGTAAAGATTGGTTCTAACCCGGCTGAAGACAATGGCTGTGCTGTACAGGATGCTGCTCTGCGGCTCCACCTTTAGGCTGCCGCTGGTATTACGAGCCAAAAACTCAGGCCAGTTCACCTGAAAAACAGACACATTTAGATACCTGACAAGTTAAAAAAATAAATAAATGTATGATATGACTTATTGTGGCCTGACATTATTTTGCTCTTGATTTAAGACAAGAGTAAACAAGACACACCTCATATTCTGCTTTAGTTAGCGAACATTTGCGATATTAAATAGTTGTAAAGATGCTTTCCATGCTCTTAATTAAAAAATAAATAAATAAAACATTAAAGCTTCTTCCCCACTTTAATGCCAGTAAACGTTTTGATGAGGATTTGTTGGGCTTATCTCAAAAGATGAAACATGCTAACTTTACTAAGCTTTGTGTAGTGATAAAAATAAACTAAATACTTCTAGAACAATCAGATATTTAAGACAGTGACCACCCGATTAAACAAGCTAAATTAGCA